CTAAAATCATGATTGTACTGCCCAAAATATTTGATGGAAAAAAATTTAACATAATATATAACATATTTAATTAAAATAACTTCCACTCAGTACCTTCTATTTTTGTAAAAGTACCCGATGTTTCTAATCTTTTTGAAAGCCCTGCTCACCTGAGCACATTGACTAGGAAAAAGCAGAAATCAGTTCAAACATGAAAGATACGTCCTAAATAATCCCCCCTCCTTTGGAGGGAGGGAGGCATGGTTTCTACACTAACTGGGGATGCTTCCATATTTCTTTGACTAATCATGGCTTTAGAAGGTTTTCAAGATTTTTTCCTGTACATTTGATCTTCTGTTGTGGCCCCTTCCTACCTCCAGGGGTCATGATTTAAATAAACTTGAATCTACACTACCTGAGGATGCTTCCATATAAATACAGTGCGGACTCATTATTACTATGTTCATTTTGTCACAGTAAAATATCGTAATACCGAGGGCAATGTAATAAAAGTTCCCAATAAAATCCAGTAAAACAACGTTTTGAAAGTTTGTTGTTGTATTAGGAGGTGTATTTTTCTTCTTTTGTTTCCTTCTTCTGTTCAAATTCTTCATTAAAACGCTATATACATATAATTTATTAATAAGTTATCTTGAATAGGTATCTTCATGATGCTATTTCTTCTATTTCCTTCATTTTAAAAGAAATGTGCACATTTTTTATAAAAACTTCGGAAATCTTCATTTATCTGCTGCCATTTCCTTTTACTTTTGTTTCTGTCTAGATAATGCGTTCGTAAAATTTTCAATGTCTTTGCATCGTTACTACACAAACAACAACAACATTTTTTTTTAATTTATTTATTTATTTAAATGAAAAGGTCAAACACCATTCAAAACAGAATTTCACAGCATACTCACTATAATCGCTTCACTTCGGAATGTACTTCACAATTGTGTATTTCACTTACGCACTTCAAGGGATCCAGTCAATGAATTCCGTGATCTTCCTCTGTTTCTTGGCCCTGTTTATGATTTCTTCACACTTACCTTCCAAGTTGTAGATCAGCTGAAAATCTTCCTTGTTGTTTTCCTCATAGAATCTTCTGAATGCCTTTAACATACTCCGTATTTCATTGCCAGTAAGCGGTAACTCAAACTCACATTCTTCATCTTCCTCTACACTTTCTTCACATTCTTCTTCTTCCGCTCCCCTGTTTTCCATGAATTCCGCACAAATTTCTTCATCGGTAGGCACATGATGGCACTGAAGGGTGTTGTCATGGTTGATGAATTCCTCAAACTCGTCTCTTGTCATCCCAGCTGGAACGTCAGCTTCTTCTTCGCTATCCTCACTCTTTTCCTTGCAGAATCTGGCTTTGTTGAAACAATTCACAACAGTGCTGCTGGTGACTGATTTCCAAGCTTTGTTGAGCAGATGGACGGCATCAAGCAGGGTCAAGTGTTTCGCAAGGTCGTTGGCTGAAAGGCTCTGGTTGTCGATATCGCTGATGATCTTCTTCACAACTTCACTTTGGTATATACCCTTCATATTTCTGATGATCCCCTGACAACATGGCTGTATAACGGACGTTGTATTTGGTGGTAGGTATCAAGACGCACGTTGCTAAGACATTCCGCTGATTCTTTTGGATGAGTTGGATAAAGTTGTCAACCAGTAGAATAACTTTTTGTTTCTTGCGGCACATGTCAAGATTGAACTCAAGAATCCACTCACTGAATATTTCACCGGTCATCCAAGAATTCTTGTTGGCTCTATACACTACAGGTAGTGTTGCTGTTCTTGAGGGGATATTGAAAGATTTTTCCTATGTATATCTAAATAAAACTTTGATCATTCCATTCATTGTGGCCCCTTCCTTAACCTCCACGGGTCATGATTTGAATAAACTTGAATCTACACTACCTGAGGATGCTTCCAAATAAATATGACCTATCATGGCTTTTCTGATGTCTAACCCGACTAACTGTCTAAAATTCTTTAAAATTCTTTTTTTTTTGCTATTTGTAGACAGAGTCAGGGATACTGCTGGTTTACCACATGTTTTAAAAGCATATTTTGGGTCTATGATGATGTTTTCTGAAGCAGTAAACAATTTGATAAAAGTGTGCTGCTCTATCAAATCACAAGACATCATTTTTGCAATTGTTTTCAGAGATCACATTGGAGAAAAATACAATATTTCTGTTACTACTTCAAATATTACGTCAGAAATATCAAGGCATAATAATATTGTTTGTTTGTTTAAAGTCCATTCTAAAATTTTTCACTCATATTGAGACACCACCACTTGCCAGAGGAGGGCTGCAAATTCAGACCTGTACTCAGCACTTACAGCCTTTGAGCAGTACGGGATCTTTTTCGTGCCAGCACCTACTGTGACCTTGGTTTATACAGTCTTATCCAAAGGACTGGTCTCCATATCCCGCAGTGGGATTTGAGCCTGCGATGTGAGGACCAACTCCTTATCCACAACTCTAGAGCAAACATGCATAATAATAGAACAATAAATGGAAACTTCAGAGAAAATTTTTGAAAAAAATCACAAATTATAGAAAATAAATGGGTAAAATTTTGGATTCCACATGTTTGTTTTTTAAAAATTTTTGTCATGCTCCATACATAACCATCAGCAATATCAATTAAATCAGCAACAATTTTAGGAGAAATTTAATAAAACTCAAAACATTTTACCAAGTTATTTTTTATGTAGTTTCTAATGTGGGCATCAACAACATATTGTGTAGAGCATGAACACAATAAAAAAAAGTATATGATTTGTTACCAGTTCATGTATTCAGTTTGAATTGACTTGATTACGAGTCAGTCAAGTTACAAGTTCACTTGATGCCCCTTCACTAGATCATATATAAAGGTAGACTGAATCTATACTTGTCACTGGGTCACATGTAAAGGTAGACTTACATGTCTTCCTGATTTTTTGGTATGCTGTATTTAGGCAGGGAGACTGGTTATATTCTGATCAAGATTTTCAAGCACCTGTTCAACTTACTTAAGGAATGATGCTTATTTTAACCTATGTTATATGATATAACATAATTTGGGGCAGTTTACGCTTTATAAACCATGAAACAGTTATAAAAAAGCGTGAACTGTCCCAAGTTATGTTATATCGTAAAACATAGCAGGGTTTGAAATTAATAGTCGCCCACTCGCAATTTGCGACTAATGTTCCACTAATGTAAATTAACTAATGTGGGCGACTTAAAATTACGTTCAAGTTGCCCACATGGCGATTAGAAAATTTACGATAGTAAATATTTGTTTTTCAATTTTATCTGAATGTTTTGTATTTTTCTCTTGAAAAATTTCGTAATCAGTAAAGTGCTTTATAATTACCCGTAAGAAGTACTTATACATAAAGCGTCTAAGTGATTGTGTCGGGCACAATGTGGCATCGACGGGTCAATGAGCCCAAGAAACCAAAAAGTACTGTTGTTATTTGTGAATGAAAACGTGCCATGTGCTCTATATATGATATTGAATGATCATATCAATCTTCATAAACAGAAGAGTTCCACTTCAAATTTAGATAAGTCGTGCATAATGTTACAACGGATAGAAAAGAAACATGAAGCATATGATTAAAAAAAAACGAAAAATGGGGTTGTTGTTTTTATATTCAATAGAAGGTGTGATAATCTGTGGGCGAATAAATTTTGATGTGGGCCCCAGAATTGCAAGATTCAGTAGCCCACATGGCTATCAAGGATTACAAGTTAGTTTAAAACCCTGCATAGGTTAAAATAAACTTCATTCCTTATAATTTAATTTCAGTGTAGACAATAAGACAATTTTTCCTCCAAAAATGGCTTCAAATTGAGCATATTTTAAAAGTGACTTCAAGCAGAGTAATACGTTTTTGACGTAACTCATTGTGATGTAGGCAATTTATGTTATACGATATAAATGAAATCTTTTATCCAATCAAATGACATGTTTTAACTAAAATTAAATCATATGACAATAAACTTGCTTGCCTCTCTGGATGGATACACGTTTTTTGGTACTAAAATGTTTAGAATTAGCAATTCTTGTTTTAAAAGATCTGAAAAAGAATTTATCCAGAATTTTAAATGAATAAAGGCCCCTTAAAGTTGCATAATCAATGCAATTTTTAACACTGGTGTGCAACCTTTATGGACAATTGTCAGATTCAAAGATTTGTTTACCATTCTGTTGTACATTGCTGACCATGAATTCACAAATGTCACACAATATTCTGAAGATATAATTAATCATTTCCATGTAAAATCAAAAATACACAGCCAATTAAAACAAGCAATTTAATTTGACTCAAATCATACGCATATTTCCTTCTAGTGTTTCCAAAAGCTACAACAACTTCATTAGACTTCATGTTTTATAAACTGAAATGAAATCTTTGAGTACCTCCATAAAATGATTTATAATCATTATGAGACTGCTTTTGTCATGTCAATTCGAACACAAAGTGAACCATAACCAGGACACAAGCTATAGCTTTTTCAAGTATGTTCTTTGAGTATTGTCCACAAAAGGAAATATGGAGGGGGCTGCTAGAAATTTCAAAATTTATTAAAGTTGCAATTGGTTCCAAAACATTCGAGTGCCAGTTCAGCTTGTTACTTTTAATTCTATTGGGTGTAGGTTAATATCCATTTCTAGAAACTGAAGTATTGAGAAAATGGGAATGGGAATAAATATTCACGGGAATTCCACTTCTTGCAAGTTTTTACATTAACCTCACTAGACCTACAGTAGGCCTAGTTCAATATTTTATAAAATGTATGTGAACTTGTGAATTTCCTAATTTAGTTTTTACTACCTTCAAAATTTCATAAATGAGGTAGTATTTAAGTATATATAGTGAAAAATTAAGGGGGAGTCCCAAACTGAACTGTAAAACATGACATGCTAAATGTTGAGTTCTCTTGACAGGTCGTTGGGTTTGATGGATGGGGACTGAGGGTTTCAGAAGTGTTTATGCTGTGTTTTACCTTGTGATCAGCCAAATCAAGACGATTACGTAAAAAACGCTCCATAAATAGTACCACATGGTAAAGTGATGTTTTCAATGTTACAAATAAAATGTCAGTACTCCGTCTTAAAACTTCTTTTCTTTGACGCCTCCCACTGCATTTCTCGTGTGTAACCTGAAATTTCCATGATGGAAGAAAAGTAGGTCAAACGTCCATGTGATGATAATCAGCCAATCGTATCTCTCGGCCATTGCCGCCGTTGTTCACCCAGCGCAGCCATTACTGTCGCCATATTATTCGAGGATTTTATTGTATTGAAAGTTTTTTCTGCTAATATACTGAAGTAGATGTCTTAGGGACAAGATTTTTTTCTGTGTTCGTCTTGCAAAACCATGGCGTGACAATGAGTCACTCAACTCCATCGGGGAACGGCTGTTCACTTGAGGATTGTTACACAAATTTATTTTCACTTGTAAGTTGAATTGCCTTTTTCAGGCGAAGGCCGTCTACATTTTTTAAATCTGTTGTATTCTAATGAGTTAATAAGAAGCTGTACATGTTGAATTAGGATACCAAGATTAAATTCGACAGTAAGATATTGAGTAAATTTAAATGTTAATTGAACCATAGTAGTTAATAGCTTGATAAACATGTCACCTGTGTATTTATTTATTCTAAAAATACAATAACTTTGATGAATGCAACCACCGTGCATGTCTGCTATCCGCGTGCCGGTGTAATTAACATTGTTTACGTCTGTGTAATTACCACAGCGCTTTCATCATTTTTTTTACTTATTTTGTTCATTCAGACGGAGATTCGTGGAATAAAATGGAAAAGATTGTCGGCTAATCCCGAGTATACAACTGTTGACCAGTTGGAGGACCCAGTGTTGGTGTCTTATGCTAAATGCATTAAAGCTGACATTTTGTCAGTCTGGAGAAGAGTTCCCAGGAGCTCTGATCAGCCACGATACACAACTGACCAACTCGCTTACAACAAGGAATTGTGGATATTTTGGTATGGAGACGAGCCTGAAAATTTGAATCGGTTGCTGTCAGAAGATCTGAAAGGTAAAAACAGTGCCAAATAAATTATGTTGAAATCAGTTTCTCTGTCAAATTAGTTATGGGGTTCAGAAATCAAATTAAAAGAATTGACAAGTGTTAATATATTGTGTGATTTATAGCTAGTTTTCCACTTGATGAAATTCACGTGAAATTTGCCCCAGGTTATTTTCCTTTGCCTTATAATTTGACAGTTTTAATGATTTGCATAATTTTTGTCGAGACTTACCTTTTGCTTTTGTACACTGTGACATCAATTAACAATTAACATTAAGTGCAAATCATGAAATGTTACGTTCAAATGACTTCATTTCAGTTAAGTATTTTGCACTATTTAAATTTGAATGAGGCTTTATTAAATTGTATAAAATAAAATACTTTTAGGATATTAAAGCAAAAAAGACAGTGCTTGTAAAGTTATGGTCAATTAGATATATTTGAATATGTATATTTTTTTTCCACAGAGGATGCAAGTGGTGGATGGGACAAAGGAGAATGTGGAATTTCATATGAATGCAGAACATTAATTTTTAAAGCTCTTCACAATCTTATTGAAAAGTAAAATATTTTAATTATGAGAAACTATTTTTTTGATTCAGAATTCTATCACAATGTCTGAAATATGCAATTTTGTTATAATTAAGTTTTCTGTTGTTCGTCATTCAACTTGTTGTCTTCACTGTATTCAACTTAGTGATGTCAACAAATTGAATTGAAATATTTGTTCAGAAAAAAATTACATCCATACTAAATTGACATATATTCAAGAATATTTCAAGTTTGATACCATCTTGATATAAATGAATGTTGTAGATGCCTCCTACACAGAGGGTTTGTAAGGATTGGGAAGTGGTTTGTACAGCCTCACGATGTCACTCCTACTGGACAGGAAAGGAGGTGAGTGGGTCACAAAGATTCATGTCAGTGGAGATATGTACAATTGCATAAAAATATTTCTTTGCAAGTAGGGGATGGACTGAGGAAATTATTTTGTGTTATGTATATGTATTTTTTTTTCTAGAATATGTTTCCTCCCAATTCACTGAATTTTATTTGGTTTGAAAGGGGGGGGGGGGATCAGTACATGTTCTTTTTCAGACCCCCCCCCCCCCCTTACCTGAAAAATGAATAAAACTTTTTAAGGTAATCTTTGCATACTACCTTTAATGTTTGAATAACCTGGTAAAGTGGTAAAATAAGATGTATCTTACCATTTACATTTTCATTTATATTTTTGATGAAGAGATGGGGTCTTTTCTTTTGGTATCCCCCCCCCCCCCCCCCCCAATAAAAAAAAACTGCATTAATATTTTAGTTTCATTTTAATTGAATTTTCACATTTATTTATTAGTCCTGTGTGTAGATATTTCAATTGATGTATAAAACTTTTTTTATCCATTGAAAGTGGAAAATATTTGTTTCTCTTACAGCACACATTTGTCCTTCTGTTTTAACTTCTTCCTACATGGGGAGAGCTCTGTGTGTGCAAGTATAGAAGTCAAGCAGCATCCCCCTGTGTGGAGATTGACAAATAATCATTTAGCCTTGGCCCAAGAAAACCCAGACAGCCTTCAAGGTAACATGGCATTTCTGCCATTACTAGTATTTTCCTTGCATTTTTAGTTCAGTTTTTACATGAAAATTATTCAGTTTAACTATAAAGAATTGTTAGTAACTTTTATATTTGAACTGCATAAATTAAAAAAGAAATATCCTGAGAATGTAAAGTTGGGAACTAAATTGTGTGAAAATTTAAATGATTTGGAAGTTAAAGTAAAGCATACCTATCACACAGTTCTAGATGTTATCATTGAATGCTTATACAATTAATTCATTGCACGATCAGTAATATGTTTGATTCCTATTCCAGTTATTCTTGTGCCATATGGGTTATGTGGGAAACTGACCGGGAATTCATACAGAGACACTGATCAGTCAGCTAGTAAAATAATTGAAGAGTGGAGCCAGTTTTATCCTCTGGATAAGAATGATGGAACTGATGTTAGTCGAGTGCCACCATTGGTAGAAGTCACTGTTGGTAAGTCAATTTCTTTTATCTTTTGTTGAAACATGAACTTTGTGCAGAATGTTAGGATTTGCTGCTGTGTTATTTATGCCACAGTAATTTATTTATTTTTCCTCCCACCTAAAAGCAGGGGTAAATAGTGATGAGGATGTACATCATTCTGTCCATAACGCTTGGGGGTACCCATTGTTATCCGTAACTCCTCCCATACCACTGAATAAAAAGGAGACATTTTTATTATATAGTGCCATTGTGTACCTCCTCTTTTACGTTTTGATTGAAGAAAACTTTGTGTTCCTCATAGCGAAAATGGACACTGTCATTCTTTCTATAATACCATATAAGTGGAAATTTCAGTGAGACGCAAATTTAGCGATTTTTCATTAAATATTGGGAATTAATTTTTTGCATGAATCAATTTTAGCAATTTTAAAGTGCCTACTAAAGAAACTATTACAAATAAAACGCAATTTATTTTTAGCGATATTCAATTTTGGCAATCTCAACACCGTCATTAATGATGCCAAAATTAAATCCTCGCAAAAAATTCTGATTATACGGTATAAGGGCTACCAATCTCTTATCTATCCACAAATTCTACTAACGAATAAAATTAATACACTTTCAAAGAATTTTTATTACATAGTGCTATTGTGCACCTCCAGTTTTATGTTCTGATTCAACAGATTGTTGGGGTTTCCCATAGATAAAAATGAACTTGCCATTTTACTCATATGGGAGCAGGGGTATCATTTTGTGAACTCAGTGCTCAAAGTATCTCTAGTTTGATTTTAATTGCAGCTGGAGTCAGGATGAAGTATCCTTCATGTTACGTGTTACTTTGTGAAATGGAAGATGCACCAGCCCGTGCACCAAATCCAACTGTCCAGCGTCCTGGTGTAGCCCCAGGAGGCCTCTTAACTCCACCTACCTCACCGGCAGCTGCTGGTATCCATCCAGGGGCTGATACAGGGGTAAAAACTCAGTGTGCACCATATACAGGGGCTCATACAGATGTCAATACAGATCTGATGGCTAAATCTTCACGGGCATTCAGTGTTAGGATCACGGAAAAGGTCACCCAAGACAACCTTATCACTGCAGGCATTGCAAAGAGGTAACCAAATCATTCTTCATTTTCTGACGAATTTGCGAAATGAAATTCATGTACATTGTATTAACTATTTAGTCAGTCATAGCAAATTGAATTTATTATAAAATAAGTCGGACAGAAAAAAAGCTTGTGAAAGTAATTTAAAGAGTATGTCTCTAGATGGTGGAAGTGCAGCAATGTCAGATAGTTCATACAGAAAGTTTTTGCAGGTCTATGGAGACTATCAGTGATGAAGCAGCTGTTGGCGTGTGGAACTTCAATGATCCTTCAGTCAAAACAACATGTAATTGTGCAAGGTATGGTAGCAGAATGCTCAACAGACCACACCAAAGATCTAGACAAGAATGTGTCTTGTTTGATTTAAACTACATGTAAATCTTAACTAGGTTTACTAGTATTTACATTGTACATCTTATTTTAGAAATGGAAGTTTTTAATAAAAAAATATTTGTGTTTTAGGCATAGAGGCGCAAAAAACAAACTTACTCAGCAAAATAAAAGTATACCTCCAGTTGGAAAGAAGGGGGACAAACCAGAGAAACTGGACCGCCAGCAGTCACGTCTAGCAAGAGGTGCTGCTCCTTTCCATCGTCGACACTTAATGGTGGAGGATACAACACAGAGTGATATGCCATTAGTTCTGTCTGGACCTGTTGCCTCTTTTAATTCTACAGCAGGGAACGCTTTACTTCCCCAGCTGAATAATTCAACAGAAACAACAGGGGGTGCAGCAGCAAGTGTTGAGGCTGCATCCCCCACAGATATGTCTCCTCTTAATGGACACACATCTCCACCTGACCCAGCCATGCCCAAACTTAGTCCTCATCCGCCGGTAGATGCAGGGGTGGAGAGTAAACCTGTTAAAATGGCCACTGAACCTCCACCACAAGCTAACGCAGCATTTGAGTTTATTAAACCTGCCACAGCATCAACACCAAAAGTGGCAGAAAATATATTGTCTCCTCTTTCCTGGCCGGGTCAGCAGAGCGAGGCAAAGACTGCCAGTATAAATAACTGGATTAAATCATCTCAGCCCCATCCAGAGGTCACAAGCATCAAGCGGCCTGTACTTCCAGCCAAAGATACTGATGAGGATGAACTAGTCACAAAATCTCTCTATGACTACCAGTCTATTCACTCCTGGTAAGATCTCAGTCTAGATGTACTTGTACACAAGGAATTGAAAGAAAAAGAATTTGAAATATATGTTGAAAAAGTACATGCACAATGTATAGAGTATAAAAAAAGAATCGCCTTTATTTGAACTTGAAGAAAAAATGATCTTCATGGTAGTTTTATATGTTATTTGCAACCCTGTTTTAATGGAGTGATGTATCAGCAGATGGGGAAAACTGATGTAGAATATTGATCAGGTTTGTTTTGTGTTGATTCCTCAGGTCAGAGTATCCAGTGAAGAGAGCTAGGGTGGAGAGGGCTTGTTCAGTAGTGGAGGTGGGTCCACAGTCCCCAGGTCTTCCCTCAAGTCATCTGTCACAAAAACACAAGACAAAGCAGCCAGACCCTTATGACTTTAATGATGATGAGCAGTCCATCAATCCAGCCACTGTGTCTAAAAGAATGTTCCGCTCAAGTCGAGATGAATTCATGAACAAGAAAATGGTGTGTATACTGGTTTATTTTCTCAACACTTTTAATTCCCTTCTTTTTGAATGGATAAAAGACAATAGAGTCAGTCTAGACTCTCACCGTGGTTAATTTAGAGAATGTAGACTTCAGATGTAAAGATCTCTTTCTCCTTTGGCATAATATGCAGCATAGATCTTAATTATTACCACCAGCAACAGAATTTTTGCTAACAAAGAGTTAATTTCTTAGAGACATTAGGAGGCATAAACAAAATAAAGAAGTCAACTTGTTATATTTTCAGGATGATGACATGAAGATGGATTTTGGAGATCCTTTTTCAGTTGAAATCCCAGGTAAAAAAAAAAGTGTTTTAACTTAAAAAGTGAAATAGTTTGTAAGTTAAAATGGGAAACTTTTTTGACAATATTTATGACTTCCTGTTGTTTGTAATTTTAGAGTGAAATAAGGTACCTTTGATATTCTCTTTTCTTTTAATGGCCTTTATTAGATTTTGTCTCTAATAAAGATTATTATTTTTTTTGGTTTCAGATTCTGCATCGTCTCCTCCAGAAACTCCTAGTGCCTCTAGGAATTTGATTCACACTAGTGATCTGAAGCCAAGCTATGATGACCTGGCTCATATATTTGATTCTGATGATTCAGACAGAGATGATAATGTAAGTGATTCCATATAGGATTTTCAAGTTCAAATAGCTATAGGATTGTACATGTATATATTAGTTTACCTTGAGAATTTCCTGTAATATTGGAGGTAGGTATTCCAGGGTTGTCCCTAAGAATTGAAATAGCAGGGAACATTAAAAAAGTAGAAGGGAGTCATGGGTTCCTCCCCGAACAGGGGGTTGTGGGAAAATTCCCAGGGTCTTAGGGACAACCCTGTATTCTTTTATTTCAAGAAATCCCCTTCATGATACAGTCATTCGTTGGTATCATAATCCCTTGGATGAAGCTAGGTGGGGAGGGAGTCAGTATATGTTATTACACTGCAGTATGATCGAGATTGTCTTGCCCCATGAACCTTTTGTTTTAGTCATGACCATGTGTACCAGAAGGCTATTGCAAATCCGAAATAATTCAAGAACAAAATTACCAATCTTATCAAATTCTAGAAACATTATTGGAATTGGTGTGTGAATGTATTTTTGTTAACATTTATGTATGAGGAATTTTCATTTTAAATATTTTCAGTTTGGTGATCATCCTCAGACTGTAGACATGATTGATGATGGCACCACAAGGTTTACAATGGGCAATGCAATGACAGTCACAGATGGCGCTATTTGTAAGTGATGCAGTTGATTGGTACATGCATTTCTTATTTTTATGATGCTTTCAGAAGAAAAAAGTTTTATTTTGATTTCAACCCTTTTCAGCTGTCTCAGAACTTTCCAAGATGTATCCCACCCCTCCATCAAATAATACCTCATCTGATAGATCACCTGGTCCACATGATATACTGGACAACCATATCCCAGAGAAGCCAATTATCAAGACCGAGTTCATTCCAATCAAGGAAGATTTTTTCAGGGTATTACTTCTGTTTTTCTTTGCACTATGTCCTGTATATACATGTAAAAGCCGCAGAAAATGCTGCAGAAAATGATTCATTGAGGAGTCCATAAATAATAACATTTATACATGTGTCTCTCAGGACTTGCCTGCTGTGTACAAGACCCCAGAACAAGCTGATTTTGTTGGTTCTGATAAATACTCATCAATAATACTACAGAGTAGCAAGTTGTCTCCTATACCCCGCCCACCAGAATACAAGGCCCATTGGCATTTCACAAGTTTTGGGAAACCTTTGCCACCAAGGTAAACATAAATGTTCTGCAGATATCAGGTTTATTAAAGAAGTTTGAAGCTTTATGATGTAATTTGTAATCAATGAATTATTACTTGCAGCAATTATACAAATATCCCGTCCATAGAAAACATACCGAGCATGTCATCACGAATGCCACAAAACTCCCCAGCCACATTCCTGAACAATAGTGTAGGACAGCAGAGAACTCCAATGAGTAATTATAATGAACTTCAGTCTCCAGCATCTAATGCTTCATCATATCTCAACAAAACACTGAATTCTATAGACAACCAAGGAACTAATCATCAAATTCCAGAAGTTCATAGTCTCATTGTCAATGTGTTCTTGATGGATTCAAGGTCAAATTTGTTTCGTGATGTGAATTTTGACAGTTGCAATATCTGTGTGTGTAACATGAACATAAAGGGAGCGGACACTGAGATTTATTTACCCGATTCTTCTGGGGAGTCTGCTACCCGTTGTGTTTGTGGATTTAGTGCTATTGTAAACAGACGTTTTGGATTTAATTCTGGATTATTTTATGAAGATGAAGTGGATATTACGGGTATTAGAAATGATCGATACGAGGGGCGGAAACCTAGTTTGTTGGCCCTGGAGTATCAGAAAGACGGTGAAAAACTAGCAGAGTATACAGACCTGCCTCATGAGATTCTAAATCTGCTGATAAGCCAGTTTTCTTATCCTTATCCTTCATCATCAACAATACAACACATACTGAGGCTCAGCATGATGAACACAACGTCGGGATTTACAGACACTTCTACAGCCTTGGTGGATATTTTACAACTTCAAGGTCAGTAACTTTAAGAGAATGCTATATCCATTTATTGGCTACTAATTTGAATTTTTTCCCTGTGTTTAATGGGAGAAGGTAAACAGATATGATAAGGACACAAATAAAGTTTGGTGAGTGGAGTTCAAGTATCACCCTGTCTGTCTGTCTGTTGTCCTACATGTCAACCTACCTTGATGAAAAAGGGGCAGATTCAGGCCTCAAAAACGGTAGCATTGAACTTGTTTTACAGTTTGATTTCGAAATGTATTAATATTATCATGTTTTTCCTGTAATGTCTTTCACTGTCAATTTCTTAATTTTACCTAATAAAGCCATTTAGAAACTATTTTTACTCTACACTTATTTCAGTGGGAAAAATTAAGGGTAGACCGATAGACAAAACTTATAGGAAATGCATCCGGTCTTTAGCAAGATGAATATATTTCAGGACTGATTTTGTCTATAGAGTCAGTGAATGCAGCCACTTTAATACTTGCTCTGTGATGAAAAATCATTAGAGATTTCCCAAATTGTTGCTTTAAAATTCTCAGGCAATGAAAAAGAAACTTAAACATCACTGCTCTTTTGTTCATATATTTACCTCTTTCATCTAAGCCATTTAGCAGTGCTACATGATTTATTTATTCCTAAAAACGAAGGTCAATTTTTCTCTATTCCTATGTTTATGGTAAATACGTCTAATTGTGGTATTAAATTATTTTCTATGACTCAATGAACTGAAAATGAGCGTTATTTAAGTTATTAATTAATAAAAAATATAATAAAAGTACTTTTAAAATGGCAATTTAGCATGAACACTCCATTTCCTTGGAGGAGCTAATTTGCTGCTAATTTCCCAAATGTAACAAATTACACACAGCAATTTAAAAAAAAAATGAAATCATAACATACCTTGATCTCTTTAATTCATATGTATCACATGGCAAAAATTCCAAGTGTTCCTGTTGTCACCTTTGAGTTCGCCCGAGACATTATCCAAGCTGTTAAAACTTGACTAAGGTAAAAAAAAATGTCAAAATAATGTTTTGATGCCGAAGTTGACTATTAATTTATGCAGTTTAACAGCAGACGTAATTAGGCAGTGCGTTTAACATACATTAACAAAATGTTAACTGCAACGTTTTATTTTGGAAATAAGTTTTATTATGTTAACCAACGTATGAATAAATAAAGTAAATTTACAGAGATAAATAAACCTAGAAAATAAATGTATTTTTTTGTTTCATCTTCATGGACAGTCCCATTTGTCCAAGATGTGTCCTATAAAATGAGATAGCCCATTGGGTTATTTCATTCTCCTTGTTAGTTTTGCACACTATATGTCCTATTTTGTTGCTTTTCCAAATTGGTAGGGGAAAAAACATGTTTGGCTATCTAGAAATACCCAAAATTATGAACATTTTTATTGTCGGAAAGATCAGTCTCATCAGTTCTACTAGCCATTTTGCTTTCTCTACTTTCTTTAAGGTTTGAATTTGATTTTCTATTCAATTCTCATCCTGTTGCAATAGAATAGAGGCCATTAGAGAAGGGGGGACAACTCCCCACCCACCATACCTCTGCAAGTTATTTCGAATTCTTTTTTTTAAGTACAGTGTTTTCTTTACTGTAAGTGTGTATTTATGGCATTACCATTTGCAAACTGTCATCCAGACTTCTACAAAGTTTCTTCATTAATATTTCTTAATAACCTTTTGGGAGTCAGATATTTTATGCACAGATAATATTGAAATAATTATTAATGAATTTTTTGTACCGAGAGTCATAAAGCACATGACCTAGCATTATATTGTGAACAATGTTTTACAGATGGTAACGACATCACATACATGGCACTGGATCTCGGGAGACAGGCAATGGAACACTGTTCTCCTAACAAACTGGATGATCCCATTCTAAAGGCTACTTGTTTACACAAGTGGCAGTTTTTACAAGGTAAGATATATAGAAAATGCTTGATCACTGATCAAGAAATAGACTTAGCCACTGTGTGATTTGATCAATTTATATATTGTAGATCACAAAAATTTTGTGACACCTTATTTTTGTGAGATAGTAATATTGAATTTATAAGCTTTTTTTAGTGAGATAGTAATATTGAATTTATAAGCTTTTTTTTGTGAGATAGTAATATTGAATTTAAAAGCTTATTTTTGTGAGATAGTAATATTGAATTTATAAGCTTATTTTGTGAGATAGTAATATTGAATTTATAAGCTTATTTTAGTGAGATAGTAATATTGAATTTATAAGCTTATTTTAGTGAGATAGTAATATTGAATTTATAAGCGAAACAAAATTTTCACAAATTCTGGTTATTGTTCTATGTAATCCTTAATAAAACTATTATACGTGAGAACTTTATTTTCACGAGCAGATAAAATAAAAGTGATTAACAGTAAATGCTAATTTTCTGCTCATTGGAAGAATATTATTTTTGTAATAAATTACTGTATACTAATTCTTGTGTTACAGGTGCTAGTCGAATACCTCAGAATTCTCAAGACTGTGTACAAGTTTTGAAATCTCTACAACCCATTCTTCAAGATGCCATACAAAACAAACGAAGTATACCTTTATGGGAACATAAATATAAATTGTCAGGACCTCTTACTTGGAAAGAATTTCATCAGCTTGCTGGTCGAGGTAAACGAAATCTTCGATAAAGCATAATTTTGAAATTGAATGTGAAGATACTTATTTATACAGTGTTTTCCTTAAGAACCCGCTACAGGCCAAATTGACCACTTCAATTGATATAATTGCTGCTTAGAAATCAAAGTTTAAAACATAACTGTTATAAGGTCCACAGAGATTTTATTCATGAACCTCAACCCGTAACCTGTTACAGTTGATCTCGGAATTTAGAAAATTAAACCAAATAGCTACTGCTCTTAATTTTTATTGTGATTCAATAAAAATTGGTATACTCTAGAGTACATCAAAATACATGGTTCATTTTATATTGATGTTCAGTTTTGATATTATTTCTACAAAATAAATATTGTTTTAAAAATGCTTATTCTGCTATTCATAAACATTTGCATTTATTTTCATGAATTTCTACTTTCATTGAACAGTTACAGCTGTTGCTAAAAGAGATTGATTAATTGATATTACAAAATATTGTTTCTTCTGTCTTGTTAAAATAAAACCTGGATAAAGTCATAGTGTAAGACCACATCGAGATATTTGAAATTCGTTTGTCAATTATTTATTTTTTTTATGAGCTGTGTAGTGGATGTAACCCCCCAAAATAGGGAAATTATTTGAAGTGTCCAAGAATTATTCTAACATTCTCCTCCTTTCTGTGATTTAAATGAGGGCTTTGTTACTTTACACATGTTTACAGGGAAAAAGAGCTAAAGTAAATTTTATTACCAGCTCAAGTTATTCCTCCTTTTCTATTTTCATTTCAAAACCACTATAGCTACAGTCCCATCAGATACTTCTGGTTATATGTTGTTTGATATATGATGATGATAGTTAATGATAGTCCTGTATCTACAAGTTTGGGGCTTCATGTTTAGTAGTGTTATTTTGTACTCTTTTGAAGTAATTTGTGTATATGATATAGTTGTGGTTAATATTTGTAAAACACTGATACTTAATTTAGCTAATGTCAGTACCATATTGATAGTGTGTGACCTAGTAACTAGATCTCTACATTGGAACATCCTCCAGTATCTCTAGCTAATGTCAATACCAGTGTGTGACCTAGTAACTAGATCTCTACATTAGAACATCCTCCAGTATCTCTAGCTAATGTCAATACCAGTGTCTGACCTAGTAACTAGATCTCTACATTAGAACATCCTCCAGTATCTCTAGCTAATGTCAATACCAGTGTCTGACCTAGTAACTAGATCTCTACATTAGAACATCCTCCAGTATCTCTAGCTAATGTCAATACCAGTGTCTGACCTAGTAACTAGATCTCTACATTAGAACATCCTCCAGTATCTCTAGCTAATGTCAATACCAGTGTCTGACCTAGTAACTAGATCTCTACATTAGAACATCCTCCAGTATCTCTAGCTAATGTCAATACCAGTGTGTGACCTAGTAACTAGATCTCTACATTAGAACATCCTCCAGTATCTCTAGCTAATGTCAATACCAGTGTCTGACCTAGTAACTAGATCTCTACATTAGAACATCCTCCAGTATCTCTAGCTAATGTCAATACCAGTGTGTGACCTAGTAACTAGATCTCTACATTAGAACATCCTCCAGTATCTCTAGCTAATGTCAATACCAGTGTCTGACCTAGTAACTAGATCTCTACATTAGAACATCCTCCAGTATCTCTAGCTAATGTCAATACCAGTGTGTGACCTAGTAACTAGATCTCTACATTAGAACATCCTCCAGTATCTCTAGCTAATGTCAATACCAGTGTCTGACCTAGTAACTAGATCTCTACATTAGAACATCCTCCAGTATCTCTAGCTAATGTCAATACCAGTGTCTGACCTAGTAACTAGATCTCTACATTAGAACATCCTCCAGTATCTCATCAGGACATTTTCAGGGCTCGACATTAACTTTTTTCCCTACTTGTCCAATCGGACAAGTGACCAAGACATTTACTTGTCCAAACTTCAACTTCACTTGTCCGAAAATTGTTCAATAAAGATACAATACTGTCAACTCGAAAACTAAAATAAAGTCCATAACATGTGATTGTTTCGTGATATTATTGATAAATACAACAAACACATAAAAACAAACTTTTATCTAGACTTTCTATCCTGACAACAACATAAATGTTCACAAACATCAAACAGAATCTAAACTTTGTAACTCAACGTAACTTTCATGCCTTTGCAGTAGTATGCAATAAGTGAACTTCGGTCCCGATCGAGTGTGAACTCAATTACATAGCGATCCATATCAGGATCGAAGTTCGTTATTTTATGTACTGCTTCCGTCTTTACCGATGAACTTTCATTTTATTATTTTAAGACTTCTTTACATTAAAATGCACTTGTCCAATTGGACAAGTGCCCAGCAATATTCACTTGTCCATAATGTTTTTTCACTGGTACCGGACAAGCGGACAAGCGTTAATGTCGAGCCCTGATTTTATAAGCTGAACATCCTCCAGTATCTCATCATGACATTTTATAAGCTGAACTGATTTTTTTTTTTTTTTTTTTTTTTTTTTTTTTTGTAGGTTCAGATGAAAACTCAACTCCTCAACCGATTCCATCCTTTCTGGCTGGTTATGATGGAGACTGGTTGTCTCTGTCACCTTATTCTCTAAGGTTCTGGGTAAGTCATTGTAGAAAAGAGTTATACATGTTAATGGTCATTTCCTGTCAAACTACTGTAACACTTCACTGATACAGGTAGAATTATCTTTATATATTTTTCCTCAAACCTTCCAGGATAAACAATTTTTGGAACCATATGGAAAGCCTCGTGATATTGCCTACATTGTCCTGGCTCCAGATAATGATTTCATCATCAATGCAATAATCTTGTTCTTCAAAGAATTAAGTAATGTGTATGAACTGTCTCGTATGGGAAGACATTCTCCAGTCTCACTAAAGCTAAGAGATGGAATCATGAGGGTGGGCAAAAAGATAGCAGAAAAATTCTCATCCGAGGAGCATCCAGATGACTGGTTCAAATTTATTGGTAAGTTCTGCTGGGTAGTTACCGTATAGCGGGTTGATTTAGCGGGGTGCTAATTTTGGCTTTTTTTTGGTAATAGTCAGCTAAAATTTAAATTGCTAAAATATTCAGTTTTTTCCTTAGTGTTATTTTGCAAAAAGAGTTGGAACCCTGTGTCTGCAAAAATAAATTAAGCCCAAAAAAACACCAAATTTTACACCCGCCAAGAAAACCTGCTATACGTAATATGCACTGAATTTGTATACTGACTTGAGCAGTAAATCTAATAATCTTATTGAATTTTTTATCATAGGAAACTCCAGTGTAGCAAGCAAATTAAGATTATATTCCCAAGTGTGCCGTTCTTTCTTGGGTAAGGCTTTATTTTAATATAATATTATAAAGCTTTAAGGCAAAATAAATGTTTAAATTACTGTGCTCAGTAAATATACATGTATGTTGTGAATTTACATGATGGATTTCATACCATAGCACCACTATTGGCACAACAAAACCTGGACCAATCAGTGTTTGAACCATCTGCAAATCACAGACCAGGTTACAAACCAGCTGAGACCAAACCAGATATCAACCAAGCGGATCACAATTCTTTTAGTATGCCAGCTCCACAATCGCACCAGACTGAAGACAAAGGTATACATCACTGTTTAATTAGCATTCACTTATGTCAGTGTACAAAAATTGTGAATACAAGTCAGGTGTTTATCTTAAGATTGTCAAGGTTCTCATAAATGCAAGAATCTGTGTGATGAATGGAGCATAAGAATGATAAATTTCACCCACTGTAGACAACCAATAGGATAAGTTAAACTCCATTGCACATGTCACCTATGATTGTGCATAATACACTTCTTTGATGAACTTGAGTACTTTCTAATCAACAGTTTATTTTAGCTTTATGAACATAAAGTTAATTTTTATCATTATGGCAATTACATGTAATTAAGCATGTTTTTCAGGGATTTATCAGTACCCTCTCAGGGGCCGAAATTCGGCCCCATTCCCAATTGAAAATAACTTATAAAAATGTTTATAGTTTTCCACACTTCATAATATACAGAAAATGTGGAGACCTCCAATGCCACAAAGGACAGTTTGTATCTGGATTTTGAGCAGAGCACAACTCATGAAAGTCCTGCTTTAATGGTGTATCTAATTGATTCCTTCACTTATGGATCTGATTGGGACCCCAATACAGAGAGGCTTACAAAAATAGGTCTGCTAAAGTGTTACCATCAGTTGGTGAAATCTCTACCTGAGCACCTTCAGCAGAACATAAGCCTTCAGATTATACCACTCAGTACCATTCTGGAAAGCACAGAGAAGGGGAGTAACATGCACACTCTGCAGTCTATATCTTTCTCTGTGTTCACCATGTGTCGCTGGAACCTGGCCCACACTATCATGGGAAGACATCTCACTGGATTTGGACCTGCTGCAGCAGCAGAAATTTTTCTCAGGAAAAAGGAGGTATGTGTACATGAATTACTTGGATTTAAATGTACATTTCACTGACACTTTTAATTGGTTCTTATTTTTTTTATCTATTCATGTGTTAGATACAGAAAGTCTGAAATAAAAATTCAATTTTGACATTGCCAAATTTGATAAACCTCTGACTACATTACAAAAGAGTCCATCATAACAAGATATGACTCTATAATATGTAAAGGAAATTTTCAAACTATCTTTTGAAGCAAAGCTAATTTTCGATCAGAGTTAGTGTGACATTATATATGTGTTCTGAATATTCAAGATTTCAACTATGCCCATTAATAGCAAGGTCAATAATTCAGTTTATATGTAGTTTTGAAAAACATCAGATATTGTATTTATCATGTACAATTGCGGAATCTGTTTTTAGGCTGACAAGGCAGGTGGTGTCAAGCTGTACAGTCCGCCTTTTGTGTTGGCACCCACCAAAGACACCCAAGCCATCCTCGCAGAGTCCTGCGGGGAGAAACTGGAGCGGAGTTTTGTGCTTTTCTGTGCATACTGTTTGTCTGAGGACCAGCGTTTTCTCCTGGCAGCATGTACTGATGAAAGGGGAGAAATGATGGAAACGTGTGCAATAAATATTGAAATTCCCAATAGGTATGCCTTCATCATATGTATTTTTCATACCTTTAGAGTGCATAAGATTATTCTTAAGAAATGTCTACTACCAGTATATATGTGAAATACTTTTCTTTAGGAGTCGAAGAAAGAAAGCATCTGCTAGAAAAATAGGGCTGCAGAAACTCTGGGATTTTTTGCTTGGAGTGGTGTGTATGTCAAGTTCACCCTGCAGACTTGTTATTGGTCGCTTTGGAAGGATAGGACATGGTGAAATGAAAGGTAAGTTCTAAACTGGAAAAATGAATTCTATCAGTATTTTGCCACAATTTTTTTTTTCATTTTATTTGAAAATTTAGTGTTTGAATATTCATTGTAGTAACTTATTCTACATGGAATACTTGATGATGTCCCTATACCTACTTATCATAATTAAGGCCTAAAAAAATTATTAACTTGGTTCTCAGGCCCGCCCGCATCTAATTCAACAATGCACATTACCCATTTTTATCCTCAATTGAATAAAATCAAATTTCTCTCATGCGCTCCTGCGGTGCCAAAAAATAATCCTGAATTCCAGACGGCATTTTGATTGCATTTTAGAAATCGGTAAAACATTTGACAAACATCAAGAAGATCCAGACTATTGGCCTAGTTAAAAATCGCAAATATGGCCGTCGAGTTAACAGGATTAGGCGTTTAGATTAAGTTTAGTCATGATGGCATTGATTGCAGTGCAAATTCATAAGGGAATGACTGTAATACTTCCATGTTGCAAAGTGTGGGTTTCTGAAGGTTTTTCCATGCTAGAACTCGATCAATAACATCAAAGACAGCTCCATCAACATCATGACGAGTACGCGTCAGCAAGATTCACAGATTTCATTTAGTGTGGGTACATCTTTTAAACCAAAGACTGATAAATTTGATAGTGTTTAATAAAATCATAAGCGCTATTTATAGTGCTGAAACACTCTTAGATTAGTTGTGTTACATAAGCAATTTACCAGATGCATCACTAAAAGTGTTGGGTTTTGTAAGTTTAACACATGTCTGGTTTTTAGGATGCTGTCCTTTCATTACACGAATCATCTGAATGTAGAAGATGCAAGAGAAAAGAGAAAGAAGCAGGAATTAAATTATCTTGATTGCTACACTCAATGTTTAAGCACTGTTGATTACAACTTGCTAGTATTGAAATTTAAAAAAAAAAAAAAAAAAAAAATCCCTCGTCTGTTTTTTATGAGATAAAAAGGGGGGGAAAAGCCTCCCTCCCGCATTTATTTCTTAGAAAACTGGCCTGAGAAACCAAGTTATTAATTTTTTTTTTTTTTGCCTAATGGATTATTTTTAGGTTGGTCAGGTTTACTGAGCAAGAAGAACTTGGAACTGGCAGGCAAGAAGATGAAGGAGATGTGTAGTCAGTGTACAGTTAATATTGGCAGCTGTGACACCCCAGGAATTCTCAGTGCCTGTCTTGTGTCCCTAGAATCTCTCACCTCATTTCATATCATGGCTGATGCTGTTAAGATGGAAGAGAAGATGAGCAGTAACTGTCCTTTACAGACTCCTCGTGATGCTTCCACAACTCATATCCTGGTCTTCCCCACCTCAGCAATAGCTCAGGTTTGCAACTTATTCACATTTGTCAATGTGCTTATGGTTATATTTCAGTGTTTGCAGCAAGGAAAGCCTTATTTTGTTTAATTATCATATGTAGCAGATACTAAAATAAATTTGCATGGTTAAATTTCTCTAGGTCATACAATGTCTTCTGAAAAGTTGAAACGTATTTGCCGTAATGATTACCCCAATTCTGTGTTAAATTAAAGATTTAAAGATTTAAATATTTCAGGCGAACTCTCATGCCCCCGTAACAGAGATGTCTGTAAACATTGCAATGGAGGACACTATGCCCATGGATGATCTGGTAGACTCGGGGGAACAGGGAAACAATCTGTACTCAATCCTCGACCAAGAATGTTTGTTGGAAGTGTTTGATGAGATCACCACTAACTACCCAGATCAAGGCAATGCTCTGGGCAACATATCCAACCCCGGGTCTCCCACCGGGGACTCGGTGCCGCATCACACGTCCAGCATGAATGGACAGTTTGTAAGTTGCATAATCATTTTGCCTTTGCCATTAGTTTTGATATTCTCTAAATCTACTTGATGTTGAAATGATTGGCACTTTTTAGGTCACCTGAGTTTACTCAGGTGACCTATTGCTATCTGTTTTCGTCCGTCGTCGTCCGTCGTGCGTTAACATTTGAACATTTTCAGCTTCTTCTCTGGAACCACTGAACCAATTTCAACCAAATTTGGCACATAGCATCTATATGTGAAGGGGAGTAAAAATTGTGAAATTCATGACCCCTACCCCCCTGGGGCCTGAGGGGTGGGGCTAAAACCATCAGAATTAATGCAATCTTTAAAAATCTTCTTCTTTACTCCTGGGCATCAAGCAGGCAAACTGTTGGCATGAATGTAATAAGCATTGAGCCCTCTACCTAAATTGTGAAATTTATGGCCCCAGGGTCAGGGGTTCTGGTGCCAGGGTGGGGCTCTGTTGAATATGTAGTGAAAAGCATTATTCTTAAAAAATCTTCTCCTCTGCTCTTCGGTATTTAGGAAACAAACAATATGCATAGTTATGATGAGGAAAGGTGTCTCTTCTAAAATTGTGAATTTCATGGCCCCTGGGTCAGGGGTTCTGGTGTTAGGGCAGGTATCTAATGATTATATAGTGAAAATGCATTAATTATTCAAAAATCTTCTCCTCTGTTCCTGGGTACTAAGCCGATGAACTAAGTACATAGTTATGATGAGAAAGAGTGCCTCTTCCAAAATTGTGAATTTCATGGCCCAAGGGTCAGGGGTGTTGGTGTTAGGGTGGGGCTCTGTTGAATATATAGTGATAATGCATTATTTCTTTAAAAAGCTTCTTCTGTGCTCTTGGATATTATGAAAACAAAATAAATACATAGTTATGATGATGAAAGGTGCCTCTTCCAAAATTGTGAATTTCATGGCCCCAGGGTCAGGGGTTCTGGGGTTAGGGTGGGGCTCTGTTGAATATACATGTATAGTGAAAATGCATTATTTCTTTTAAAAATCTTCTCTGATCCAGGGCAAACAAACTGAAGGCATAGTTATGATGAATAAGGGTGCCTATTCCTATGTTGTGAATTTCATGGCCCCCTGGTCAGGGGTTCTGGGGTTAGGGTGGGGCTCTGTTGAATATATAGTGATAATGCATTATTTCTTTAAAAATCTTTTTCTTTGATCCTGGGTATTTAACAAACAAACTGATGCATAGTTATGATGAGTAAAGGTGCCTCTTCCAAAATTATGAATTTCATGGCCCCTGGGTCAGGGGTTCTGGTGTTAGGGTGGGGCTCTAATGATTACATAGTAAAAATGCAATAATTCTTTGAAAATCTTCTTCTTTTCTCCTGGGTATTAAGCTGATGAACTAAGAGTATTGTTATGATATGTAAGGATGCCTCTTCCAAAATTGTGAATTTTATGGCCCCTGCATCATGGTTCTGGTGTTAGGGCAGGGCTCTAATGATTACATAGTGAAAATGCATTAATTCATTGATAATCCTCTGCTCTCTTTCTGGGTATTAAGTAAGCTTACTCAATGTAAAATTATGATGAGCAAGTGTGCCTCTTTCGAAATTGTGAATTTCATGGCCTCTGGTTTAAAACATGAATCCATTGTGGCGAAGTTGTTGCATGATACTCAGGTGACCTATAAGGCCCGTGGGCCTCTTGTATTATATCCTCAAATAAAAAATTAATCGAAACAAAGTTACGCGCTTTTTTAAACTAAATTAACATTAAATTGAATTTATGTTGAATTGCTAATGAAATTAATTAATATTAGGCTTCTTTATTTTTGAAAAGATTCTTGTTTTTGTTATTTACTCTATGTGGACAGAGTTGTTTGAACAAAGGTCTTATGAACGCAAAAATAAACAACACTATTGCTACCTTTCAACTCTCTTCTCTAAACTTAAGTATTGAATCTAAGATCATGCTTATTTTAGACTTTTATTCCAAAGACATTTGAGATGGGGTCTAAATGTAATAATAGCACAGATATGATGTAATTGGGGAGGGGGGATTTGAATGCCATGAATTATTTTGAAAATTGTAATGTTACTCTCAGCATCCTCTGGGAATTAAGTTTTTTCCTCTTTGCTGCATACAGATCAATTTTTACATTAGTTTTATTAAACAGGAGTGAAATTCAAGCTGTATGCTATATACATGTATATGTATACATCTATATAAAGTAATCTCAAGATATTTTAATATTTTAGCCAAAAAATTCCATGAGCACAGATCCACAGGATGAAATGCCAAACCTTTTAAACCAGCCCCTGGCCCTGGGCTACTTCACCTCCACAGCCAGAGCAGGACCCCTCCCTCGATGGTTCTGGTCCGGAGCCCCAGAAAAAGAATTTCAGTGTCCGTCTTGTTTCAAGGTGTGTTCATCTCCTATAAAATTGTTTTAAACATCAGCTGGGTCACAGTATCATAATAATGATCTGTGGAATGTAAAGTGAATATAAAATACTTCAGCTGTCCATTTCTAGAATTTGTTTATATATACCAGAAGATAGTTCATGTATACTAATACCATTGCTTTGTACCTTCCAGGCTGCACTACACATCCATAGCTCCTCCAAACATGATGAATTCTCATACACTCAGCACAACAAAAATTCTCACCCTCTCGATTCCACACTCACCCCTGATGTATTGAGGTAAGACAGACTTATGAAATCATACTGTGTAGCTATAATTTGTTTAAACAATGAAGTTCATAGTGACTTTAGACTTTGCCACTTTTTAATGTGTTGGTTATTTTGGATATATGAAATGCTGTCTACTGATATTAACTGTATGTATGTATGTATCTAACATGTAGGTGTGTTTTATTTCCTCTGGATTTCTTTAGAATATGTGATTGTTTCAGGTATGTTCTGGAGACGTACAATGCTCTGTCCTGGTTGACCTTTGACCCTGTACAGAATGATCGCCAGTCGTGTTTGCCAATCCATTTTTTGGTGCTTATGCAGATGTATCATGCATTAAATGCATTTGTATGATGTGATATTTTGAAGGAAACAATGGTTATTTTAGGAAAAACCGTTGATGCATTGGATGCATATGTGATATTTTGGAACAGAATGTGTTTACGCAATGAATTTTTTATGTTGTGTATTATTCACATGTAATTTATTATTTCATATGATCAAAATTTGAGCAAATTGGTATTATTTGTCAGGACTCAAAACAACAATTTCAAAAAACATTGTGAAAAAATGACTTTTGAAAATGAAACATAAGCAATACTTAATGATCTAGACATTTGATAATGGATTATGGCACAAAATTATCATGTTTGATTGTTTATATATGTAAAAAAAAAAATAAATTTCTAGAAGACAATAAGTCCAGACTTGGGAATATCCATATAAAAAAAATTTCCAAGTTAAAAAATGTTAAATGTTTTGAATTTTTTTTTGAATTGTGCAATTCATGAATTATGTAATTGTAAAAAAACTTATGAAACAAAAACAACTTTTTCTTTTAACACACAGCATTGATGCATGACATGAAAGTGAAGTGCCAAAGTTAATCTTGCCAAATAAGTGCAAAAAATCACAAATCCCTGCCAAAGTATGAAGTATATTAATTCTTGATTTGAACAAAAATACTGAACTACTTATTGAGGTTTAAAAAAAAATGTTCCAAATGGTATTGCAAATACTCAGATCATTAATAATGTGTGTAATTGAAGGAATCGGTTTATACTGAAAACAGTTTCTTGAAAGCTCAAGAAAAAAAAATTGTTGTAAACATTGATTATTATTTTTTTATATGGAGGGGTGTTCTAGTAAAAAGTAACTTAAGGGATGAAATTCCAAATAATTGTATTGATGATGGATTTGGGGTGGGTTGGCAAATATTTCTTACTCTAGAGGGGGAGGGGGGCATTACGGTTTGTAGGGGGTCTTTCAAGATTTTAGCCTGAGGATAACACCATTATTGGGTAATGTGAAACCCTACAAATTAATAGAACACTTGAATTTCAAGCCTTTATTTGTATGATTTTTATTGTTGGATAATGCAACACTCATGGAAACAAAAAAATCTCTTGATGTTAAAGTTTTAATGAAGTTAGAGAATATTTATGCTGAATGTGCTATTCTAGAATGAATGTTCTTATATAAGTGGTAAATAATTGACTAAGCTTTGATATAAGGAAACCTTTCTTTTTCTAGTAACAGATGAATTTATTAATGAATAGTTACACAAGATTACAGATTAACAATGATTTCCCATTGTGTACTCTAGGACCTATTTTACTGCACATTTAAAAGTTTTGTGAAGGGAAGGAAGGACTAAAAAAAAAAATGTTGGCATTCTACCCATAGGTATTTTTATTCTGAAATAGCTCAGTCAATAATTTATTTTTAACACAACTCAAAATCTGTGATTACTTATTTAATGTAAATGACATATTTCTTTTGTAATGCATTTATAACTACTAGAAATCTGCATTGTGAAAAAGAGCAAGAATTTTTTAGTATGCATAAGGACTCAAAAGATGAAGAGAGTCTTTTGAAGAAATGATTTGTGAGGGCTGTTTATAAAATTAATTATGTGAGTGAATTTTTTAATCTCAATTTTTAGCTCTACTGGTCAGAGACCAGAAGAGCTTATGCGATAGTAAGGTGTCCGTCGTCCGTCCGTCTGTCTGTCTGTCTGTCTGTCTGTCCGTCTGTCTGTAAACAATTTTTCAAAACGCTACTCCTCCTACAGTTTTGGTCCGATTTCAATATAACTTGGCACACAAGTAGACTACTCTAAGATACATAATTTAGTGCATCGGTTTTTGATTTCGATGGACGGTGTTGCCATGGTTACTAAAAATAGAAATTTCTGTGAAATTCCTTTAAAATGCTACTCCTCCTACAGTTTTGGTCCGATTTCAATATAACTCGGCACACAAGTAGACTACACTAAGATACATAATTTAGTGCATCGGTTTTTGATTTCGATGGACGGTGTTGCCATGGTTACTGAAAATAGAAATTTCTGTGATATTCCTTTAAAACGCTACTCCTCCTACAGTTTTGGTCCGATTTCAATATAACTCGGCACACAAGTAGACTACACTAAGATACATAATTTAGTGCATCGGTTTTTGATTTCGATGGACGGTGTTGCCATGGTTACTAAAAATAGAAATTTCTGTGAAATTCCTTTAAAATGCTACTCCTCCTACAGTTTTGGTCCGATTTCAATATAACTTGGCACACAAGTAGACTACACTAAGATACATAATTTAGTGCATCGGTTTTTGATTTCGATGGACGGTGTTGCCATGGTTACTAAAAATAGAAATTTCTGTGATATTCCTTTAAAATGCTACTCCTCCTACAGTTTTGGTCCGATTTCAATATAACTTGGCACACAAGTAGACTACACTAAGATACATAATTTAGTGCATCGGTTTTTGATTTCGATGGACGGTGTTGCCATGGTTACTAAAAATAGAAATTTCTGTGAAATTCCTTTAAAACGCTACTCCTCCTACAGTTTTGGTCCGATTTCAATATAACTCGGCACACAAGTAGACTACACTAAGAAACATAATTTAGTGCATCGGTTTTTGATTTCGATGGACGGTGTTGCCATGGTTACTAAAAATAGAAATTTCTGTGAAATTCCTTTAAAACGCTACTCCTCCTACAGTTTTGGTCCGATTTCAATATAACTTGGCACACAAGTAGACTACACTAAGATACATAATTTATTGCATCAGTTTTTTTATTCAATTGACGGTGTTGCCATGGTTACTAAAAATAAAAATTTCTGTGAAATTCCTTTGAAACACTACTCCTCCTACAGTTTTAGTCTGCTTCTAATATAATTAGGCATACAAGAAGACTATACTAAGATACATAATTTATTGCATTGGTTTTTGAATTCAATGAACAGTGTTGCCATGGTTACTTAAAATAGAAATTTCTTTGAAATTCCTTTAAAACGTTACTCCTCCTACAATTTTGGTCTGATTTCAATCTAATTTGGCACACAGTTAGAATACACTACGATACATAATATGTATTTCTGTTTTTTTTTATTTGGGTGAATGGTGTTGTCATGGTTACTAAAAATAGAAATTTTAGTGAAATACTTTCAAAACGCTACTACTCCTAGTTTTCATTTGATTTCAATATAACTTGTCACAAAAGTAGACTACATTAAGATACATAATTCTATTTATTGTTGCATGTTGCAATGTTTCAAATCCAAGTGCTACTTTTCTTTTGTTATACAAACAGACCAGTAGAGCTACAGTCTCATCAGAGACTTCTGGTTTATGCATAAAATAATGGATGATCTCGGAATAAAATTATTTAGAGATACTTCAAAGGTATTATGTGCTGAATGTTTTCTTTGTTCAACACGAGAACACTTTTATGATATTTACAATGTTTTATTGTAAAATCCATAAATGTAATAAATGCATGCAAAGAAAAAAAGGCATGGAATATTTTGTATCAAATGTAACATACATCTTAAGAAACAAAGTCTTTCACTGCATTCTTGTATCTCATATATATGCATGTTGTGCAATACAATAAAGCATTGGAATGATAAGAATCAAATTCAAAAGAAGTTGGAATTTCTATTCTTAGATCAATTTGCAAATTTTCATTTTACATGAATTTTTTGTGATCTTTTATCGATTAATATCGAGGGGATTAATTTGAAAAGTGCTTTTTCTAGAGTGCACTGGCATCAAAGATGTCTATTTATTATTCATTCAATATGAAAAAAATTCTTCATGTGATTTTAGTGTAGGGTATCTGTTGTTTTTCCTTGTGTATATCATGACATTTTTTGTACAGAGGAGATTTTTTTGTACAGATGTTTTACCAAAGTCTATGAAATGTTACTATATATATACATGTATGTGAACACTTTCATCTCATTGTTTGATCATTTTCTGTGTGAAAGGCAATATTTTTGGTAAAAGTGAAACTTAGGTTGTTTACAGTATTACTATGACAATGTACTGGTTCTCTAGATAGCTGTTTTCTTTGTGATCAGATCACGCTTACTTCCATATGTCTGTGATTATAGTTACTAAAGAGGTCTCATCTCTACCTGCCAGGTATGGAAGTGAACTTGATCTATACAAGTCATGTGATCCACATGTCACATGACCACATCAATGTCTCAGCTTCAGGTAATGTCTGTGTAAATAGGTATAAATTTATTCTCAAACTGTTTGTGAGAAAGTCAATATTATATTTGTATTTAATGATGATAAAAGTCATAATTTATTTTCTGTTCCTAGTTGTGTATTTTGAGAATAAGATGACTCAGTAGATTCTACTAGCTCATGGAGAAATAAATGAATGAAGATGACATTGTTTTAGTCTTGATGTTAATTGTATGAGTGCTAATGCCACTTCCTACAAGTTTACACGACTGGTTTAACATTTTTAAATTGGCAAATTTGTATTGTCATGTGTTTCCCTACTTGTAGCAGTATTGAATTTTCAAAATCAAGGAAATACGTGGGAGATTCTTTTTATAGTGTTATAACTAAGGCTGAAACAATAGATAAACAGTTTTCTTTTACAGTACACAATGTAATAGTAATGATTAGCACAGTCTGACCTTTCTTCTAAAGTAGCTAATAGTAAGGGGGGGGGGGGCTAGGATAAAAGTAGGGGGGGGCTACATTAGTCATACTTGCTGGAATTTCATACATTCTCATTTCAACAACAATCCAAAGCAGGCCCGTACCAACGGTTTTGAAAGGGGGAGGGCAACTTTCCAAAATAATCTGACAAAAAAAAAAAAACCCTCTTCAACTGTCCAAATCCAGAGTTTGCCAGTGCTCGACCTTACAGCAACAACAAATTGGGGGAACTAGTCTCTAAATGAAAATTTACTATTGCAATGCTATACTTGGGAAAAACAAGAGGCTCATGGGCCATAACGCTCACCTGAGTCAATATGGCCCTGCTGTTCTTTGTCAGCAGGTTTCTTCTATATATTCATATGTAAAGCTTTGATCGCATGTTCTAGGCATACCCTATCCCTAGGTGCCATGTTTTGAATGAAATTGAATCTAAACTTTCTGAGGATGTTTCTATATTCATATAACTATAATCATAGATTTGCTGTTCTTGAAAACGGAATTTTAAAGATGTCTGCCACCCTACCGGGGGGGGTCATGATTTGAACAAAGTTGAATCTACACTACCTGAGGATGCTTCCATGTCAATATGACTAATTATGGCTTTGTTGTTCTTGGAAAAAAAAATTTAAAGATATTTCTTATATATAATCTTTTGTTAAACTTTGATCCCCCATTATGGCCCCACCCTACTACTGGAGGATGCCTTGAAAAAAAATTTAATTTACAATACTTGGGGATGCTTCAATATCAATATGACTAATCATGGCTTTCCTGTTCTTGAACAGATTTTTCCTATATATTCCTATGTAAAACTTTGATCACCTATTGTTGCCCCACCCTACCCCCGGGGTCTTGATTTCAACAAACTTAAATTTACACTACCTGAGAATGATTCCATATCAATTTGACTAATTGTGGCTTTGTTGTTCTTTGAAAAAAAATGTTTGAAGATTTTTTTTTCTACATATTCATAAGCAAATCTTAGATCCCCCATTGTGGCCCCACCCTACCCCCGGGGGTCATGATTTGAACAAATTTGAATCTACACTACCTAAGGATGATTCCATATCAATATGACTAATTGTGGCTTTGTTTTTCTTGAAGATTTTTAAAGAATTTTCCAAAATATTCCTATGTAAAACTTTGATCCCACATTGTGGCCCCATCCTACACCTTGGGGGTCATGATTTGAACAAACTTGAATCTACACTACCTGAGCATGATCCCATATCAAATATGACTAATTGTGGCTTTGTTGTTCTTAAGAAGAAGATTTTTTAAGAATTTTCCTATATATTCTTATGTAAAAACTTTGATCCGTCATTGTGGCCCCACCCTACCCCCGGGGGTCATGATTTGAACAAATTTGAATCTACACTATGTAATGAAGGTTTCCCGTAAGTTTCAACTTTTCTGGCCCAATGGTTCTCGAGAAGATTTTTAAAGGAAGACACCAAATTTTCACCAAATCTTAATTATCTCCCCTTGGAAGAGGGCGTGGCCCTTCATTTGAACAAACTTGAACCCCCTTCACCCAAGGATGCTTTGTGGCAAGTTTGGTTGAAATTGGCCCAGTGGTTCTGGAGAAGAAGTCGAAAAGTTTACAGACGGACAACAGACAAAATGTGATCAGAAAAGCTCACATGAGCTTTCAGCTCAGGTGAGCAAACAAAAAGTGGGCTCCCAAGTCACTCAGGTGACCTACTGCTTTCATATGTCTTCTGTCAACTTTTGAAAATTTTTCACCTACTTCTCTGTAACTGCTGAACCAAATTCAATATTGCATCTATTGTAAGGAGGGGGGATTTTGATTCCCCCCCTCCCCAGGGGCCTGAGGGCATTCAAAATTAATGGAATCTTCAGAAATCTTTCTTTACTTCTTAGTAACAAGCAGTCAATTTTTGGCATGATTGTAATATGCATTGAGCATAAATCTTTCTCTCTATATAATTAGCAAACTAAATGCATAGAAAAAAAGGAACCATTAGTGCCTCTTCCAAAATTGGGAAATTTGTGGACTTCGTCTGGGACTCTAATGGTCATTAGTGAAAATGCATTAATTCTTCAAAAACCTTTTCTGCTCTTGGTATAGAATACAATCCAAGTGCATGGTAATGTAACGAGCAAGGGAGTCTCTTCAAAAGTTGTGAAATTCAGGGCTCTTGGGTCAGTCAAGGGTTCTGGAGTTAAGGTCTCTATACTATATACTGAAAAGGCATCAATTCAATAAAAACTATGTGCATCCTTATGATGAGCAAGGGTGCAGCTTCAAAACCACTGCTCCTGGGTCAGAGGTTCTGGTGCAAGTATCATTTCAAAAATGATTACATTTTTCTGTACATTTATTAAAAATCAATATTATCTTTATGTACATATTTAATTATTAATCTACAAAGATGACAAGAAAAACATGATACATGTACAACTTGAACTCCCTCCTCTGGGAATGACACAATTATTTTCACACATGGATGTCTTCAATGAAAAAAATGAAAATGAACATTGAATGTACAATACTCCTGTATTGCACTCTACTTCGATACAACCACTGTATTGGTTGTATAACTGATCCACATTTCATGAACGTCTGAGATGATCATGATGATCTGACAAGATAAACTGATTTCAATGTCTGTTTGATTAACGACGACGATTCTGATACATGTTTCCACCTCCTCCTCTAGGCCCCCCTGGTCCTCCGCGGCCTCTTCCCCGGGCGGCTACAATAGAAAAAGCATTGATGAATACAGTGGAACAATGCAAGAATTTACTACATCTTTGGTGTCCAAATTATCCTCCAAACAAAAATCAGCACCCCACTGAACGACAGAGAGACTGAAGCATTTCTAATCAAGTAAGTCAACTTGCACAGCTTGACATTTCTGTTAGAACTTGTAATCATACCTTGCGTTCGTAGAATTGCAGACTTCCCTCTGTTTGCTGAACCTCCTTTTCCTTGCACCCTTTTGAACATTGGAGCATTCTTTAACATATCTGGTAATATTAGAAATCTGATCTTACTGCCTCTAAGATACACATTTTCCAGCTGTGCAACCCTTCCATCTCTGTATGTCACTGTTATTGCAGACATTTGACAGTTCATATTATCCTCAGCTTCGACAAGTTTCCCTCGATAAACTTCACCGGTTGTTGTTTCGCATGTCACAATGTGTCCCTCTGCCTCGTGCAGAACTTTAATCGGCACACCAATGGACATTGCAATATATTAACCTTTCTTCCAACTTATGATTTGATTAATAAGTGCCACAATAAATTAAAGATGGCCTTTGATTGTAAACACCCTTTTGTTTTGATGCTCACAATGGCGCCCAACGCTATCCGTACGTTTCCGGTGCATTTGGTAGTTGATAACTAAACCATAAAATAATTCGATTTTTTTTCACATTGTATTGATCATTCAAGTTTCGATAAATAAAGATCATGCAGAAGTTTAAATAGCTAAAATTTGCCAAAAAACGAAAGAGTGACACAAAGAGTAATCAATCCAGACACTAATTAAAATAAAGGGCAAACTTTGAAGAGTTATCTTTCTTTTCCAATACTTACAAACCCAGACTACGCAGCGATTACTAAATTTTATTATGATTTTATCGGAAATAAATGATTTTCTTCTTATTATTATTATTAAAAATCAATTTTATGGCACTGTCTGGTTTTATCAAGGACTTTTTCTTATATATTAATAAAGTAAAAAGAATCTGTTGTGCATCGTGCTGAGCAAAGGTAATCAGCCATTTTTCACCTAAATTGTAACTTATTTGTTAATTGTCTTAAACTTAATCATACTTTACAAGACGCAACCAAAGCAATAAACATACAGTTTTAATTATGCAAAATGGTTTAAATAAAATATATTTTTAAAAAAAAAATTGGCTTGCCAAATCAAACACTAATTGGGTATTAAAATTCGAAACAGGGAATTAAGTATTTTGCTATAGTAAGCTTTTCATGAATTTGGTATTGATCGATCAGAAGTATAATGTATTTTTTTTTAATTACATTAATTTAATTTTTTTCATTTTAAAAATGAAATAACAAATCGGAATCCGTGACGTAAAATTTGAGATACGGGTCATTTTAACTTTACTTTCTCTATATATTTGCAAATTCTGGAAAAAGTATGTTTATAAATGTGTATAGTTTGTTCCTAAAATATCATTTGAAACCTACAGTGAATATTCCTAGCGTAAAAGAGTGTAATAACATATATAGCATTCAACTTCATGTAGGACCAGTTCTAATTTTCTGAATAAAGCAAATGTTCATATATTTTGATAATTTGCTTCTAAATATTTCTAGCGTATGAAAACATAACAATTTCTGTGAGTAAAATATGTAGGACCAAAGTGACTGTTCCAACTTTTTTTGAAGATTAAATACAGTCAAATGTATATGCTTTGAGAATTACACATTGGCATCACTTTCACATCTTTCTTTAGTTCTCTAATAGCTACAATGATAAACTTTCAGGAACAGGTCATTATGACCTATCAAACCAGAGTCGGTCTCTCTGTAAAAAAAAAGATAAGTGCGCACACACCTAAAAAATTCCAGCATTCTATTTTACAGCTAAAATTTCGTTAGGAGAACTGCTCTTTAATGTAGAATTCTGTGATTTTAATTCACTAACAGTTTATTTGTTTGAGAGAGAGAGAGAGAGAGAGAGAGAGAGAGAGAGAGAGAGAGAGAGGACCTTTTGTCATTTGGACAAGAACTAATCTATCTTTTGCTATTGTATCATCATCATACATAAAATACAGCAAGTTTTTTTGATCTAGTGTCTTTCCGAAGTCAATTTATGACACACTTCAACATAAATCAGGCTCCTGTGTCTCCCTTGAAACATTGTACAATGATAAAGTTGACCCAACGCAACATTTTATCCTTTCGGGACTAGTTGCCACAAAAATACATTTTCCATTTCACTCATGATTGATCTTCAATGATTCAGATGTTTGCTTTCTTTATTAATTTATTTGATTTATATGTGTACACAGAAAACATTATTCACAAAAATTTCACATAGAGAAAACAAAACAGAGTTATAATCAATAACGGTGAAAATTACTATAAAACTATAACAATTATCCATCCCCAATTTCACAATATTTTATTTGTATTTTTTAAAATTCAAAATACCAACAAAATAGCGTCTCCCTCTGGTATTCACCCCCTTTTTCTTACCCATGGGGTATCTCTGTGGCTAGAACTGCGGTCTCTCGAAGCAAAGTGCTGATCCCAATTTAATTTTTTTGTTCGATCTCGAAAACCATCGCCTATCGAATTCAAGATATGTATTTCTCGAATTATTTCTTAATACGAAGTCATACGATGTAAATTTTAGTATTTTTAAATTTTACTTGATGAGACAAAACGGTTCTCCACGCGTGCATGTCCGTGCTAAATAGCGACCTGAGTAAATATACAGGTGGGTGTTAATAACCAATACAGAAGAATGGGCGATAGTTTTGAGTCCTGTATTTTCGTTGGTATGACCATGTCATTTTAATCAGATCAAAATTATTTTTTTCTGCTGGCATACTTACTTCATGTGTATCTTTAAGAACTGGTTTAACGTGCAGAAAAAGTGGTCACTGATTTATTTTTCATCATAAATAACATACCCATCACTATAATTATGGTTTTTCAGCAGTTGTTGATTTTTTTTTTTACTTTTCGAAGCAAAAGAGATTCCGGAATCACATAAACTGTTCATCAATATGGTTATTATATGTGACTTCAGAGACAAACTATCCACAGAAAACGAGCCTTTATGACTCTCACACAATCTCGACGTACTTCATCAATCTCTAAACAGCGTATAATTTGATTTCTAGACTGACAAGAGATTTTCAACTTTACCTCATTAAAAGAAGGTCTTTGTGGTTTCTGAGAATGTCGACAAATGACTCCCGACATAGAGACGAAAGTCTGTTAAGTTTACAAACGACTCCCGATATGCCATAGAGACGAATGACGGTACATATTATCGTCGGCGACAATATGTACCTACCCTCACTGCACATATTGTCGTCCATCGGTACATATTGTAGCCGGCGACAATATGTACCGAGACGAGCCTTACTTTCCTCCTGCATATAATGGACGACAAAATGTACAGTCAAGCATCAGCACATTTTGTCGTCGGCGACAATATGCACAGTCAAGGTCGGCATATATTGTCGTCGATACATTGTGTTGACGAATATTTACTTTAAAAAAGGAAAGAGAGATAGACAAACACACACACACACTCAAGGAGGGGGACAGACAGCGTTACTCGCAATACTGTAGGGAGAAAACCTTTTGGTTAGAAAATTGTGTCCAGGATTGATGCACATCACTGTGATATGTCAAGATACCGTACTTCTTGAGATATCTGATAAATCAGCCTGTTTTTTTCTTGTAATTTACACTTGGAGATTGAATACATGTATTAGCTTTTTTGTTCAGTAGTAATGATTATTTCTTGGAAATTATTTTTTGCGTTAATCTTTTATACAATCATGTGTTGATATAATTGGTGTTGGGGGTTACATTTTAAGATCACCTGAACTGGAAGTTCAAGTTAGCTTTTCTGATCAAAGTTTGTCTGACCGTCCGTCTGTCTGTAAACTTTCCTCAATATCAGCTTCTTTTCAAGAACTAATGTGTCAATTTCAACCAAACTTGCCACAACACATCTGTGGATAAAGGGGATTCAAGTTTGTTCAAATGAAGGGCATCTTTCAAGAATTAGTGAAAATTTTATGACATCTTTTAAAATTCTTCTCAAGAACCGTTATGTCAGAAAAGTTTAAACTGATGTGAAAGCTTCATTATGAAGTGTTAATTCAGTTTTATTCAGATCATGTCCCTCGGGAGAGGGGTGTGCCTACAACAGTTTTTCATAGAATATTTAGAAAAAAATCTTTCAAAATCTTCTTTTTAAGAACTACTGGGTCAGAAGAGATGATACTTATGTGGAAGCTTTATTACATAGCGTACGTTCAATTTTGAGGTGCTGACACGAAAAAGATCCCTCGCTGCTCAATGACCCTGAGTGTCAAGTATAGGTCTAAATTTGCAGCCCTCCACCGGCAAGTGGAGATCTCTCCATGTGAAAGAAAATTCTCGATAGGGACATTATAACAGCAAACAAAAACAAAATTAATTTTGTTCAAAGCATGACCCCAGGGGTAGGGTGGGGCCACGTTGGGTGATAAAGTTTTACATAGAATATATACAGAAAATCTTTAAAAATCTTCTCAAAAACCAAAGACAGATGTAGCACCGACGCAACCCCCTTCCCCGCCCGGTGGTTTGATTTTTTAAAAAAAATTTTGGCTTTGGTCAATTCTGTTTGTTTAACTTTTATATACTCTCAATTTAGTCCACAGATAAAATTTCATAATTAAATGATTTACTTAACACATACAGTAACACACCTTTACAAACAAATGACTTTTATTTTGCTTGACCAAAAAAATTCTGAACCGCACCCATCCCCCTCCGTTCTGAATTTTCTGGATCCACCACTGAGGAACAGCAGTAGGCCCGTGATTAGTGATGTTTATATGGAAGTATCCTCATCCGCAGATTCAAGTATCCTCAAATCAAACCGGGTCTATGGTGGGGCCACAATGGGCGAAGTTTTACATAGGAATACATGTATATGGGAAAATTCTTTTAAAAATTATCTTCTCAAAAAGAGCAAAGCAATGATTAGTCATATTTATATGGAGCATTGCCGTGCATTGTCATGCGACATGTTCTGATGGAGGACAATATGCGCCGTGAGGGTAGGTACACATTGTCGCCGGCGACAATATGAACAGGACGACAAAATGTACCGTCACAATCACGCTGCATGAAATAGCATACGAGACACGTCAGTGTGATTATCACACCGATTACATTCACAAAACTACTTAAAAAAGAAAACAACAAAAGAAATCTTTAAGCAACAATATTTGTGGGGCGACAATATGTACAGTGAGGGTGAGGCACATAACGTCGCCAGCGACAATATGTACCTGTGTAACTTTTCAGCCGGTGACAATATGTACCGATGGACGACAATATGTGCAGTGAGGGTAGGTACATATTGTCGCCGACGACAATATGTACAAAACGACAATATGTACCGTCACAAGACGACTGTCTGTCAAGTTTACACACGACTCCCGACATGTCATAGAGACAAATGTCAGTCAAGTTTGAAATCACTGGCTTTTGAATATCACATTGATTGTATAGATGATGTTTGTTTTGAATTATACAATAACATGAAAGCTATATATGGCGTATCTGAGCTTGATATAATAATAATAATACGAGATTGAGTGTAAATCTACATGA